TGAGCCACTGCGGCCGGCCCACCTGTCTGATTTTTGTAATTTGGAGGGACAGGGTTTCCCTAAGCTGCCCAGGCTCTGAATTCTTAAAAGCTACTTCTTAACATGTGTCCTTCAGCGGTGGGTTTTATTTTTTTCTTCCCCTTTGAATCTTCTTTTCCTTGCCGTGTATGCCTTTGTCAGTGAGACACTTTATTTCTCTGTGGTATTTCCACGTCTCGTCAATTCCAACAGCAATTGCTCTGTCCACATTACAGGAGCAGGCCACGCTCTCATGGCCTGCAGAGGATGCCATGCAGATAGATAGTACCTGCCATTTCCTTCCAAGTGCAGAGAGCCAGGCTCCACTGCTCTTCCATTACAGGCTGGCTTTTCAGTTCACAGGTCACATGCATGGATATCTCTGTTTATCCTGGTTACTCACAGAGAGCGCCAGGTTGGCCTACAATGGGGCTTTAAAAAAAATTTTTTTATTTTTAGAAACAGGGTCTTGCTCTGTCGCCCAGGCTGGTGTGTAGTCGTAGATCAGAGATCACTGCAGCCTCAAACTCCTAGGCTTGGCTGGGCACGGAGGCTCGCCTGGAATCCCAGCACTTTGGGAGGCTGAGGCGGGTGCATCAACTGAGATCAGGAGTTCGAGACTAGCCTGGCCGACATGGTGAATGCCCGTCTCTATTAAAAATACAAAATTAGTGCTCACTTTGGCAGCACATATACTAAAATTGGAACGACACAGAGAAGATTAGCATGGCCCCAGCACAAGGATGACAAGCAAATTCGTGAAGCGTTCCATATTTTTTTTATGAGTATAAAAAAGGAAATTAAGAAAAAAAAAATACAAAATTAGCTGGGTGTAGTGGCAGGTGCCTGTAATCTCAACTACTCGGGAGGCTGAGGCAGGAGAATTGCTTGAACCCCGGAGGTGGAGGTTGCAGTGAGCCGAGATCACCCCATTATACTCCAGCCTGGGCAACAAAAGCGAAACTCCATCTCAAAACCAAACCAAACCAAAACAAAAAGTCCTAGTCTCAAGCAATCCCTCCGCTTCAGCCTCCTTAGCAGCTGGGACTACAGGTGTGTGTCACCATGCCCAGCTATTTTTTACTTTTATTTTCTGTAGAATTGGGGTCTCACTACATTGCCCAGGCTGGTCTTGTTCAAACAATCCTTCTGCGTCAGCCTCCCAATGTGCTGGGATAACAGGGACGAGCCGCTGTGCCAGGCCTCAGCTTCTAATTAGGCAGGAATGGTCTGTGCTCCTACAGACACTGACTGGAGGACCCTCTTGGGTGCGAGCTAAAGGAAGGAAATTAATTGGTCAAGTAATAGTGCAGGCTTAGTGGCCTGAGGGATGCAAGTAAGGGCATAAGACTATCTGCCAGCCGGGGCCCAGCTGTCTCCACACTGGTTGGATGCTGGCCCTACCATGCTTAGCTGGAGATACACACAACTCCAGACTTCAGTGTAAAGAGGGGAAGAGCCCCAGGGGCAGGTCTTGGGAAAGCCCCAGCTAACAGCTGCCAAGGGGGAGGCTGTCACTTCAGTGAGCAGGGGCAAGGGCAGTGTGGTTTTACAGGGTATTACAGGGTGTCTGTTCTAAATGGGCTGGAGTGACACTATACACAGGTCTCACCTGCGACCTGCTTCTGGTGTTTTAGCACAGCTGCACAGATGACAACGTCCCAAAAACACACGCACACGATTTCCTTTTTTTTTTTTTTTCCATACGGAGCCTTGTTCTGTCGCCCAGTCTGGAGTACAGTGGCTCGATCTTGACTCACTGCAACCTTCACCTCCTGAGTTCAAGTGATTCTCCTGCCTTAGCCTCCTGAGTAGCTGGGATTACAGGCACGTGTCACCACACCCAGCTAATCTTTGTTTCTTTTTTCAGATGGAGTTTTGCTCTTGCCGCCCAGGCTGCAGTGCAACGGTGAGACCTCGGCTCCCTGCAACCTCTCCCTCCCTGGTTCAGGTGATTCTCCTGCCTCAGCCTCCTAGGTAGCTGAAACTACAGGCATGCATCACTATGCCTGGCTAATTTTGGATTTTTACTAGAGACAGGGTTTCGCCATGTTGGCCAGGCTGCTCTTGAACTGCTGACCTCAGGTGATCCGCCAGCCTCAGCCTTCCAAAGTGCTGGGATGACAGGCATGAGCCACTGCACCTGGCATGCAGCATGCACAAATATACATATATATATATTTTTAAGTAGAGGCAGGGTTTTACCATGTTGGCCAGGCTGGTCTCAAACTCCTGACCTCACGTCATCCACCCACCTCAGCCTCCCAAAGTATTGGGATTACAGGCGTGAGCCACTGCAGCTGGTCAATTTCCCAATTTTAAGGGACATCGGTAACAGGGTTTCAGCATTTCAGGTAATTTAGAAGCTCCGATCCACAGCATTCTCTGATGGCAGGAGTCCTGTTCATTTCTGTATTTCTTATTTTAGTACCTCAATCAAAGGCAAGGCTGAGCAGAGGGAGAAACTCAGGCAGGCAGGGGCTTATACCTGGGAGGAGGCAGGAGGTACAGGGTATTAGATGTGGAAAATGAATTTAGCCTCAGCATGGAGCAACACATTGTTTTTTTTTCTTTGAGACCGGGTCTTGCTTGGTCACATAGGTTGGAGTTCAGCAGTGCAATCGTAACTCACTGCAACCTCTGCCTCCTGGGCTCAAGTAAACCTCCCACCTCAGCATCCCGAGGATCTCGGACTACAGGTGTGCGCCACCATGCCCAGCTAATTTTTCTATCTTTTGTAGAGACGAGGTTTAGCCATGTTGTCCAAGCTGTTCTCAAACTCCTGAGCTTATGAGATCCTCCCGCCTCAGCCTCCCAAGGTGCTGAGATTACAGACGCCACCCACTGTGCCTGGCTGAGCAACACATCTTAGGGCAGACAGGTGAACAGCGCGGGCACACAGTGGGGAGGCTCCAACATGCTGAGAATGCGCAGTCTACCGCTTCAAACTACACACAGCAACACTGAGTCTCAGAGGCACAATGCGGAGCAAAAGAAACCAAACACACCGCAGATCCCATTTAAATGAAGCTTGAAAGCAGACTGAACCACTGTGGTGGGGCTGGGACAGTGACTCTCGAGTGTACCGTCTGGGAGGGTTTGGTAGGGTTCTGTTTTTTGCCCATCTGGCTGCTGGTAAAAGGTGGGTTTAACGTCTAGAAATTCACAGGTACACTTTTGATTTGGGCACTTCTTAAAGTTAGAAACAGGCTGGGTGCAGTGGCTCATGCCTGTCATCCCAATACTTTGGGAGGCCGAGGCAGGTGGATCACAAGGTCAAGAGATCGAGACCATCCTGGCCAACATGGAGAAACCCCGTCTCTACTAAAAATACAAAAATTAGCCAGGTGTGGTGGTGTGCACCTGTAGTCCCAGCTACTTGGGAAGGCTGAGGCAGGAGAACTGCTTGAACCCGGGAGGCAGAGGTTGCAGTGAGCCAAGATTGTGCCACTGCACTCCAGCCTGGCAGCAGAGTGAGACTCTGCCTCAATAAAAAAACACACAAAAAAGTGAGAATCATTATCAAGTGATACCGAAACCTAGTCCTAAGAAGTTTGGTTCAGAGAGAAACAAAGTCAGGGTCCTGGCGTTAAGGGACAAAGATTTCCAGTGCCATCAAACTTAGAAAGCAGCACTGTCTCCCAAGCCAAGCCCTGAAACAAAGCCCTTCTGAGTGAGCAGCGAGACCTTGCTGGGTTCTCACATTCGATAAAGCTGGACTTGGCAGGAACCTTCTTGGTGAACTCACGTGGGAATAGGAGGTCATTTCTCGGGAGAGCCAACCTCTCTTGAAAATGACAGCCAGTTTTTCTTTAAGAATCTGTAGGCTCTCTTTTCCCCCTTTTCCTCAAATCTACAGGCTGCTCCCAACTCCTTCGTCCACAGCAGTGTTTGTCTTTGTTTCATTATCACCCCCGCAAGAAAGCGTTTGAGAGTTTCCCCCAATGGCCTTCCCAGCAAAATTTTAACACCACAGTGTGCTCATGTACTATGTATATATAATTGTGTCTTATGCATAAAAGGAGTAAAATTCCTTCCACCCTCCCAAGCACCAATTTTCACCCACTTCAGCGCAATATCATGCTCATTGAGAATCTATGATCTGAGCTAACCAGAAAATTTAATCTCCAAAGGGGATACCTCTAAAGAACAGAAGGCACTATGAATATTTATAATAAGGAGACAGTTGTAACCAGGAACCTCATGCCAATGCCCCCACCTCCCCCACCCCCAATCTTTACCAACAGCAGCTGTGGGGACAGGAGTTTGTTGAAGTATAGCAGCCTGGGTCTTGCTCTTAGATTTCAATGTGGCAGGTGGGGCCAGGCTACATATTTCTAATTAAAACTCCCCCAGTAGCTTGGCTCTGGGAACTCATCCTCACTTGCTGTTGGGTCCCAGGGAGTCATGACCGGGACGAGGACTCCAGGCCCTTAAGCTCCAGGTACACAGCGTGCTGTCTTCACCCTAAGGTAGAAGGCTGGGTTCTCCATGGACCTGTCCTTGGAGTTTTTGAGCCCCCACGTGGGCATGGGAATGTCACAGCTTTCTTGCTGTCCCACCCTCCTCCTCGGGTTGATCAATGAGTCAAGTTTTCACACAGAGAAAGCTCTGGAATGTCACACCAAAAAAACGAAGACGTCTGGCCATAGCCTCTCTAACATCCTTCATACTTCCCACTGAGTTTGTGACAGTTTCCACTCCTTGCCCACTTTTACCTTTACTTGTCATTAAGGAGATTAACAACACCAATGACAGAAAAATCAGTCTGGGATTAGAAATGAGGGAATCAGAAAAAGGATCACACTTGTAGGCAATTTTGCACAGGTGGTGAGGGAACAGCCACAGACCTTTGATGATTCGCTGATCTTGTATGGCCGAGACACTCGCGTCTGCCTGCTTCCCTCCATCATTAAAGAGATCTCAGCCCTAGGAGAAGAACAGGATTTCTGAGCATGCAGTGGTAACTCTAAGTCATTCATTAATTTCAGGCCCTGCTGGCAGATACCAAGGACGACAGTGAAAACAGTCACACGGCGGAAGGAGGGAGGGAGGACGGTGCACTACAAAGAACTCTTTTACGCTGAGTTGAGAAAAAGTCTGTTAGAATTGGACGGAATACTTAACTCGAATTCCTTTATCATTTAAAAACTGCCAACAGCATGCCATTTACTCCACTTCCTACAAATAATGACCTTTTGGCTACATCAAGGTTATAATGATGTTATAATTTCGGAGCCCAGACTACAGCCCTGGAAGCAAGCTAAGGGACTTACATGTGCCATTTAAGCCTCACAAAGATTATACTTGGCCAGGATGGCATCGTTTATCCCATTCCCCAGATGAGGATATTGATCTTACGGTCACAAAGCTAGTAAATAGCTGGGAATCACACCTGGGTCTGTCCAGCTTCAAAACCTGGACCCATCACATGACACACGGAGGGAGGCCCAGGGTTGAACAGTTTTCGCACTTTAAAAATACCATGATGGGGGTAAGCATGTGGTACAGTGATGACTACCACGTTCACAGTACATTTTAGACACACACTGTCCCCAAGTGTTTCTCCATGTCTTCACTCAGTCCCCACTGCAACCCCATGAGGCCAGCACTGCAACTGGAGGATGCTGGGAGCAGTGAGGTGACACAAGCTGCCCAGTGTCACACAGCTCAGGGAAGCTTCCAGGCTCTTAACCCTTAGGCAACACTGCCTGGCCCTTGGGTGGGGAGGGAGATGCCTCCAGGCAGAGTTGGTGGGGTGAGGTGCTTCAAAAAAGGAGGGGAACACAGAGAAGGGACTTTGCCAACTAACACTAACACAAGTAACATACTAAGGTTTTAAAGGGGATTTTTTTCCCCTGCTATTTGAGTTCATGAGAAGAGTCTGTTACCTACTGAACAAACAGCCTTTGCTAATACAGAACAATGTGACAAGAAGTCAGCACTGTTCTTAGATAACTGGGGACTCCAGTGTTCCCATGGGAGGAATGAATTAGGACACAGTCCGTCCTGTGCAAATGCCCTAGGGAGAGAAGGGGCAACTAGATTCGCTCGACAAACTAGGAACTTTGTGGCAGTGACACGCTGTTCCCATCCCCGGCCCTCCCGGCTGCTGGAGAGCCCAGATGCCCGAGGGCCCAGAGAGGGAAGGGAAGAAAAGCAGCGTTGGTGCAGTGCCCACCGCGGCCCCGACTTCATTCCACCTTCACCCTCCGAGACAGGTGCCACCGTGGCTCCCACAGTGACACCCGGTGCTCGGGTGCCCCAGGGGGGAGGCCCAAGGTCACAGAGCAGAAAGCAGCAGGTGTCCTTTCTCTCCACCACCACAGGCAGCCTGCCCGGGCTCAGCTTGGCCCTCTAACGCTCAACGCTTTCTTTTCTAGGCCAAGATACCTAGAGAGAGTTTCCGAGACGGAGGCTCTTCGCCGTCTCCTGCAAGTGGGTGGGGGCGGGGGCTGATTTCCCCCCGTGGTGGACGTCAGCGGCCTCCGACACTTTCTGGAAGCAGGTGAAGGGTCAAGGCCACCCCCCCACACACACACACAGTGACAATCCCAAGTCACTGTAGGAGGTCTTCCAGTAAACACCGGACGCAGGCCCCATCCGGACCGGAGGGTTCCCCGGGAGCCTCCTCCCCAAGCTCCCTCTCGACCTCAGCGTGGGAGGAAGCGACGCTGCGGACACCGACGCGCCGGTGGGGTCTCCTGGGGCGCCGCTGTCGCTCGCTCGGACCGCGCAGCCCCCGGCGGAACTCGGCGCCACGGCCGCCCGGGCAGGCTTGAGCCGCCGGCGAGGAGGCGGAGTCGGGACGGCCTCCGCGGGAGCCACTCACCTGCCACGCACGGGGCGGGCCGCACAGGCCGCACCTGTGTCACCTGCGGGGGCGGCGGCTCCTCCCCCAGCCTCTTCCACGGGCCGCGGCGCCCCCACTTGCCCACCCGCCGGCCCCGGCACCAAGAGGCGCAGGGGGTCGCGACTCGCGGGGGCCGGGGACCCTCCCGATCTCCGCCGGCCCCCGGCCGCGGCCAGGCGCGGCTTCCCGGCGGTCCTGGGCGGGAGGGAGCGCGCGCGCGGAGGCCCACCTGGCAGGACGCGCTACTGACGCGGCGCGGGCAGCCCGGGCTGCGGGGCCGGGCGGTCGGGGCGGCGGGGCCCGGGCGGAGGAGCCCCCGGGCCGGCCCGCTGCGCAGCCATGGCTCCGCCAGGAAGTGCGAGGCCGAGGGCGGAGGCGGCGCGCGCGGCCAATGGCGGCGGCCGCGGGGAGGCGGGGCCTGGCGGCGCGGGGCGGGGCCTGCGGGCGGGGGCGGGGCGCGGGGGCCGCGGGGTGGGCTCGCGGGGTGGGCGCCCCCGTGGTCCGCGCTCCGCGCTCCTGGGACTCCCGGTGTCCGCCCCCCGCCTCGCGACGTCCGACTCGGTCCCTTCAAAGGCAGGCCGCAGCCCTGCAGCGCGAAAGGCGCCCGGGTGCCACCCACCGTCCCAGGCGCCGGGCCACGGCCCTTGAGGAACCAGCGCGGGCGCTGGGACCTCCTTGCTGGCCCGGAGTCGCCGGGGCGCGCGCCGCGCTTCTCGCCTTCCGGGCTGGGCTGGAGGGACCCGGCGGCCCCCTGCGGCGAGGCCTTTGCGGGCCACTCTGCGTAAAGTCTTATCCCCTCTCTCCACCCAGCTTCCTACCGCACGCTTCACTTGAGCTCTTATCAGAGTCTAATATTCCAAATAATGTACTGGTTTATCCGGTTTATTGCCTCGCCTCCCTAACCAGAAACCCTTCAGGGCAGGGTTCACTGTCAGTTCTACTCCTGGCTGGGCCCCCAAGACTGGCACACAGTAGGTGCTCAGTAAATACGTGTGGAATGAATGTATGTAACCTTCATCGATCAATGCATCAGTTGTCATACTTCGCTCATGCTACAGCGGGATGAACCTTGAAGATGTAATATTTAGTGAAAGAAGCCAGACACAAAAAAACCACACATTGCATGATTCCATGTGTGTGAAATGTCGGGAACAAGCCAATGCATAGAGACGGAAAGTAGGTGAGTGGTTGCCAGGGGCGAGGAGTTGGTGAAATGGGAAATGGCTGCTAAAGGATCACGGATTTCTTTCCTGTAGCGCTCACTACAGCCTCCACTTCCCAGGCTCAAGGGATCCTCCTGCCTCAGCCTCTTGAGTAGCTTGGATGACAGGCACCTGCGCATATGCCCAGCTAATTTTTTAGCATCTTTAGTTGCGGGTTTTGCCATGTTGGCCAGGCAGGTCTTCAATTCCTGACCTTGTGATCCACCCACCTCAGCCTCCCACAGTGCTGGGATTACACATGTGAGCCAGCACACTCGGCCCACTTGCAGGATCTTTATTATTTTTATTTTTATTTATTTTATTGATTTTTTTTGAGTTGGAGCCTCTCTGTCGCCCAGGCTAGAGTGCAATGGCTCAATCTCAGCTCAATGCAACCTTCACCTCCTGGGTTCAAGCTATTCTCCTAACTCAGCCTCCCGAGCAGCCGGGATTACAGGTACCCACCACCACACCTGGCTAATTTTTGTACTTTTGGTAGAGATGAGGTTTCACCATGTTGGTAAGGCTGGTCTCAAACTCCTGACATCAGGTGTTCCACCTGCCTCAGCCTCCCAAAGTGCTGGGATTACAGGCGTGATCAAGGATCTCTAAATGATGTCCTCACTGACTGGATGGCTGTCCCCCATCTCTCCCTCTCCCCTTTTCTTTGGGGATCGCACACATTCAGCCTTCCAAGCCTTACTTGCCCATCTTTGATCCTTCGTGGACCTGTCCTCACCCCAGACACAGCTAATCCTCATGTTCTGTCTTTGTACCCTGACGTGGATCTCTGTTCTGATAGGAGTTCATGCACTGCCTCTCATTCATCCAGCAGACTCTTCAGGAGCACCTGCTGTGTGCTCGGCACTGTGGTGTGTTCCAGGGATACAAAGAAGAAACTTTCAGGGGTTTTAGGAAGAGAGGCAAACAAGTAAATCAGCGATGACCCTACTGTGGTGAATGCTGCACTGGGGCAGTACACGGAGGACCTAGAGTTGGACATGTTCTTTTTTACAGCTGGAGTTAAAGGTTCTCTTGATAGATAGATATAGATAGATACATGCACCTCTCTATATGGATATTTACCTTATCTGTTTATCTATCTAACAAGATATTTAGCTGTAGATATTTTAAGACCCTGGTTGGGGGAGGTGGCTCACATCTGTAATCCCAGCACTTTGGGAGGCTGAGGCAGGTGGATCACCTGAGGTCAGGAGCTCAAGACCATCCTGGCCAACATGGTGAAATCCTGTCTCTACTAAAAATACAAAAATTAGCCGGGCAGCATGGCAGATGCCTGTAATCCCAGCTACTTGGGAGGCTGAGGCAGGATAATCCCTTGAACCCCGGAGGCAGAGCTGAGACCGCACCACTGCGCTCCAGCCTGGGTAACACAGCGAGACACGGTCTCAAAAAAATAAACAAGAGCTTATAATTCTTACATAGATAAATAGAGACATGAACCTCTCTATATTGGTTTCTATGTTATCTATTTATCTATCTAATGAGAGATTTAGCTGAAGATATTTTCAGAGCCTATAACTCAGCATTGACGTCGGCCTTCTGGGTGTCTTGTTCTTTATGAATGAGAAGACGTGCAGCCTCATATACAGGGGCAGGAGTAAGGGCCTGAGACAGGCTCACCCACACATGACCTTGACATGCACAGGGTGTGGGCTCGGCTAACTTGGCTTCCCCTTGCGTTTCCCGTCAGCACTTTGTGAACTACCCTGTCACTTTTTTTCTTTCAGTAACATTTTGTGTCCTCCCAAATGATAAAGGTAATGCATGCTTCACTCAACCATTCTCAATACAGAGAAGTTCAAAAGAAAAAACCAAACAGCCGTGTGTAGTGGCTCATGCTGGTAATCGCAGCATTTTGGGAGGCAGAGGCAGAAGGATCACCTGAACTCCGGAGTGTGAGACGATCCTAGGCAACATAGCAAGACCCTCGTCTGTACCAAAAAGAGGTAAAAATCAGCCAGTGATGGCTGCAGGCGTCTATAGTCCCAGCTACTTGGGAGGCTAAGATGGGAGGATTGCTTGAGCCCACAAAGTCAAGGCTGCAGTGAGCTGTGGTTGTGCCACTGAAACTCCAGCCTGGGTGACAGAGCAAGAGCTTGTCTCGCAAACAAAACAAAACAATACAAAACAAACACTCATTTCTACACCATTCAAAAAAATTGGTTCATATTGTTCTCTCAATATTTTCCTCTTACATAATTTCTTTACCATAATGATAATTCCAGTTTTCTAAACACTAGACAGTGCTCTAAGCCCTCTGCGTGTATTAACTCATCTGATACTATCTCTGTATCCTGGCGTGTGAATCTCTGTCCTTATATGAATTCATAAACTCCCTCCTTCATTTATTCAGCAGACTTGACGAGAACACCTGCTGTGTGCCTTGCACGGTGGTTGCTCCCCGGGATAGAAAGAAGAAACTTTCAGGGGTTTTAGGAAGAAAGGCAAACAAGTAAATCAGCGCCGACCCTATCGTGGTGAGTACCTTGACTCTTTGAGAAAGGTATCATTACTTTCCCTGTTTGCAGATAGGGATGCTGAGCCCTGGAAAAGTTAAATCCCTTGCTCAATGTCCCAGAACTTGCCAGGAGCAGAGCTGGGCTTTGAACCCAGGGAGTCTGCCTCCAGTGTCGGAGCAGAGCTGGGCTTTGAACCCAGGGAGTCTGCCTCCAGTGTCTGCATGCCCAGCCTTGGCCACTGCCCCACAGTTCCCTCTGTGCACTCAGTGATGTGTGCTCAGTGCAGAGAGTTGGAAAACAGACCCAGGAGAGAAAAACATCACCCACCTGAGGAGAACAGCTGTTGGTATTTAAGGATAAACCAGCTCAATGTTTTTCTCCTGTGTATATTCCCTGCACACCTCTGCAAGCCAGATTCTGTGGTGCACGCTCCTTGGTAAGCTGACTTTTTCCCCCTTTTGCAAATGTCGTGAGTTTTTCACACGTCAGTAAGTCGTCGTCTGTGATGTGATAAGTAATGGCTGTGCCTGATCCTTCAGTGGATTGTGCCCTTGACCTCCCCCACTGTTGGGCGTGCAGCTGGTGTCTCTATTATGAATAACACCACGGCGAACGTCCTTGCACGTACCCCGTGCCTCCCAAAGTGCTGGGATTACCGGCGTGAGCCACCGTGCCCGGCCCCCATGGTGCTTTGCATTTACTCTTTCCTGCCACATTCCCTTGGGTCTGGGGATACTCATGGGACACAGGCAGCTCCTCTAGGGCCCCTGGTGTCCCTGTCGGTGATTTGGGGTCAGGATGCACAGGCCCAACCCCACA